CTTTCTTTCTTTCTTCCTTCCTTCTTTCTTCCTTCTTCTTTCCTTCCTTCCTTCCTTCCTTTCTTTCTTTCTTTCTTTCTTTCTTCTCTTTCTCTTTCTCTTTCTCTTCTTTCTTTCTCTCTTTCTCTCTTTCTCTCTTTCTTTTTCTGTCTCTCTGTCTCTCTCTGTCTCTCTCCTCCCACTCTCTTTCTCCTTCCTTCCTTACCTGTAGGGTCTGGGATTCAGAGTGGGCATAACTGGGCATTTCTGCCTTGAAGCATTTCGTGCTGTGGGAGTCAGACACTGACGAGCTAAGACAGAAGTGGGGCTGGAGCAGCTAGAGGCAGGTGGGCATTTCTCTGTCTTCATGTCATTTCAGAGTTTTTCTATGTGGTCTTTCTACTTGGGCTACTTTGGGCTTCCTCACAGCAGGGCAGCCTTAAGTTGCTGAACTGTTACTTAATGGTTCAAGGCTCCAATATTAGTGATGCAAAGATCAAAGCAGAAGTTGCTTCACCTTTTCTGGCCTTATCATATAATGTCATTTCCTCTGCATTTTGCTGGTTACAAGCAAGTAACTCCTTCCACCCAGATTCAAGGGGAAAGATATTAGACTCTTATCTATTTATGGTGGAGTGGTGAAGTTTTAGGCTAACATGTGTTATAGGTTGAATTATATTGAAGTTCTAACCCCCAGTATCTCAGAATGTGACATTATTTGGAAATAGAGTTGTTGTAGATATAGGCAGTTAAATTAGAATAAGGTCATTTGGGTGGGCCCTACTTCAGTATGACTAACATCCTTATAAAAAGTGAAAATTCGGATACAGACACACACACACACACATAGGGAGAATGCCATGTGAAGATGAAAGCAGAGATCAGGATGGTGCTTCTATAAGACAAGGAACACCAAAGACTGCCAATAAACCATTAGGAGCCAAAGGAGAAGCATGGAACAGACCCTCCTTCACAGCCCTGAGAAGGAAGCAGCCTTGCCAATACCTTGGAAGTCTAGCCTCTAGAATTGTGAGACAATAAATTTCTGCTGTTTAAGATACTCAGTTTATGGTACTTTGTTATGACAACCCTAGCAAACTAGTGCACTGTGGGGTGGGAAACATTGTTGTGACCATTTTGGAAAATACAATGTGTCCCACAAGTCATCAAGGAATTTTTTTTTCTTTGAGATGCTCCAATTCTATTTCAACCCTACTGTTAGCAGGTTTTCACACTCTTAAAAAATGTAAGCACTTTGTTACTTTTAGTAACTGATACTTTTAGAAGCTGATAACTTCTTGTTCTTTTTTTTTTGTATAGGAAGGAGGAGATTTAATTTTGAATTGTATCTGTTTTCTTACTGTGAAGTACTGTTTTGTGAATAGCATTTCCTTAATCTCTTTCTAGTTCTGATCATGAAAGGATCAATGCAAGTGAAGGCAAATGATCTTCACTCACCTTGTCAACGTTTTAACTTCACTGTAATGCCTTCAGCTGACCGCTTGGAGGAATATAACAGCACCTGCAACCTAAAAACCCGCACTAGAAGGTCAGCCACCAAAGAGGAAGACCCCACCAAGGAAACGTCCATAAACCACACCTGTAGAATTATGGAACACCCAAATAATTGTATTAACATTTCTTTGTACTTAGAAATGGATGTAAAAAGTAAGTTTTTAAGGAAATTAGAGGGAAAAAGAGAATCGGATACAGACACAAAATTAAGTAAGGGCTACCACATTAACTTCACTGAAAGTCAAATAGTTCAAGAATTTTACTGATGAAATAACAAGGCTGGAAAGAATGTCAGCTCTTTTAACTGTTTATTTTCCTTTCAAAATGTGCTTTCTGTGGAGCCTAGCTTCCAGGAGGCTTCTGTGGGTTGCGATTTGAGGGGCACTAGAAAGACCCTC